CTGCGCGGCGGGAAGCCAAAGGACAGACTGTCGCGGCAGATGGGGGAAGTGAGCCCACTTCCTGATCTCATGGGACCGCGGGCCTTCCGAGCTGCCTCTGTCCTCATGCCCTGGTTTGCTCAGTGCAGTGGGCCGGCGCCCAGCCCGGGGCACTCAGCCAGACGTGTGCTCGGCACTGCATGTGCTGGGAAGCAGGGTAGTGGTGGAAGGGACTTTTGGGGGCAGGGTAGTCAGGGGGAGGCCTCTGAGGGCGTGACATTTGAGCCAGGGCTTGGGTGAAGCAAGGGAGCAAACCCTGCCAGGCAGAAGCACAGCCTGTGCAAAGGCCCTGGGGCAGGACTGCACCTGGCATGTTGAAGATGCAGCGAGGAGGCCCATGTGGCTGGAGCAGAGGGAAGAGTGGGAGAGAGGGATGAAGGGAGGGTGGGGAGGTTATGAGGCCCCGGTGTGGTCATTCCCTGCCTCAGTTTCCACATCAAGCACATGTGGAGAACAGCTCCTGCTGAGAGGCCTGTGTGTGTACAGGGGAGAGGAACAGGCATGTCCTTCCATCCATCAGTTAGTCAACAAACACCCTTGAGTGTCAGCCCAGGGCAGGCCCTGCCCTGAAGGAGCCCCTCTGTCATCGGCAGCAGGGACCGAACGGGGTCTGCAGGGCAGGGTGGTGCCAGCAGGGCGGGCGTGGTGGCTGGCACAGAGCAGAGCATCCAGGCGGGGGATGGTAACGGCCAAAGCACAAGGCCAGGCGCCGACCAGGTGGCAGCTGGGCAAGGGGTGCCACTGTGAGGGGTGTGGCCTCCCGGGGAGCACAGCAGGTCCCGAGGGGTCACGGTGGGTCCCCTTCAAGGGTGGACAGACCTAGGCTCAGAGCACAGCCCCGGCGTGCGTGAGGAGGCGAGGTGGCTGCGAGGTGACCCATGTGGGAGCTGGTCGGCACGGCACGTGGCAGGCTCCCGTCACTACCAGGTCCCGGGGAGCCCGGGAGCCCCACCTGTGGGTGCTCGGTGAGAAGCCTGCTCAGAGAGGTGCAGGGGCCGGCTGAGGTCGCACGCGGGTGGGCTGGGAGCCCGGCTTGGAGGCTGAGGGGTCCTCGCCTGACCCTCAGGCGTGGGGAGCCGGGGAGGGGGAGCGGGGGGGACGCGGCTTCGCTCCGCACATCTGGCGCTCCCGCCGCGCAGCGCAGCTCGCCTCTCCTCCTCCTCCCCCCGACTATTTTTAAAACTTAATTTCCTCGAAAACAGGGTGGCTCATTCAGAAGATAATTAGTCACCTCGACATCGTGACAGTCCTTCATCGGGGCTGGGCACGTCCAGGCTCTGTGCCTGGGGTGGGCTCCCAAGAACCAAGCGTGGGGAGAAGGTGACACCCACTCCCCACCCGGCTGGTGGCACCGAGGCCTGGGCGCCTCCCGCCTCAGCTCAGAGCTCCATCCCGGGTCCCTGACCCAGGAGGCTGCGGCTCCCGCACCGTGGTCTGTCCCCACCCACAGGACGCCCTCCCGGCTCCTCCTGCTGGGCGTCGGAGAAGGGCAGCCCCAGGGGCCCCTGACCAGGTCTAGAACGTTCCAACTCGTCCGCCACCGGCTTCCTGCCCGCTCTCCTTTTCCTGCCCCCACGCCCTGGATGCAAAGCTGTGAATTGTTCTGCTGCTGGCGGCCATGCAAACGTGTCAGCACCTTCCGCCCCCCGCCGGCTGCCCGGGGGACAGACACAGGTCGTGGCCGGTGGTCCCTGCAGCCAAGAGGGACCGGAGCAACCGGCTCTGTCCTCCAGAAGGGGGCGCCCTGGGGAGGGGCTGAGCGCCAGACCCGACGTCTGCACCCGGGGCTCCCGCTCAGCACGGCCCAGCGGCCACCCTGTCCCCTCCCGGCCGAGGGCAGTTCCGTCCTTCCGTTAAGGCCGCAGCCGGAATCCTTAGTCATCCGGACTCCTCCGCCCCCTCCCGCGAGCACAGCCTGTTTCCCAGCCGCACATCCCTCCAGAGCCAGCCGCGCCCCCTCCTCTGCCTCCGCCCTGGCCCCAGTAGCCGCCCGTCACCCCTGTCCGGCCCCCTCCCAGCCGGTGTGGGATCCGGGGTGCCGGCCAGAGAGCCAGGGCCGGCGTGTGCGTGTCCCACGGACGCACTGGGGCCCTGCGAACGACAGACGTTCGTTCTCGCTCAGTTCCGGGAGTCCACGGTCAGGGCGTGGGCAGGGCTGGGTCCCGAGGCCGGGACGGGGTCTGTCCCAGGCCCCCCGGCTGCTGGCAGCGGCCGCATCCTTGGCAGGTAGCAGCATCACCGGGTCTCTGCCTCTGCCCTCACGTGGAGCCCTGCGTCTCTCTCACAAGGACACCGGTCCCGCTGCACCAGGGCCCGGCCCCGAGGTTCGGCCTCATCTCGGCCAATCACGTCGGCACAGCCTCTTCCCAAATAAGGTCACGCTCCGAGGTTCCTGAAAGGACGTGAACGTGGGGGGGACGCTCTCCAGCCCGTGCACCGGGCGGGCAGTGCGGGCCGACCACCATGACGGGGCGGCTGGGTCACGCCCCACGTCTTGGTTTAAGGCCGCCCCCTCCTGAGCCGCGTGTGCCCACGGCCCCCGTCATGGACATGCACGGTTTCTCCCTCGGGCTCGGGGGCCCCGGCTGCGTGTCTGGCCTCACCGTCACCGGCGCAGAACCGTGGGCTCCCTGCTGAGCAGCCCCAGCCACCTGTGACGTGCGCCCAGTGGGCGTCTGAGGTGGCACAGTGGGTCGTCCGTGCACCCGCTGAGGGCGGCGTGGGGGCCAGGGGCTCTGGCAGGGACGGCCGAGCGAGGAGGGTGAACGGGGCGGGGGCGACCCAGGCCTGGCTCTGAATTTCCTTCTCCTTCCACGTGACCCTGGGCGGGTTCTCTCCTCTCTCCGGCCTCACCGTCAGCATCTTTGAAGCAGAGACGCCCTCCCTGGCCTCTGTGAGGCCACTAGTGACCGGGACAAGAAAGACGTCACCCCTCTCCTCGCCCGAGGCCACGCCCAGCCTGGCGCCCACCTCCTCCCCAGCCTCTCCCCGTGTACCCCACGTGGTCCTGCCCCACCCTGACGGTCCACACGGGTCTGTCCAGACTGTCCTTATCCTCCTGTCTGCCTGGCCCAGAGCGGGGAGGGGGCGGCACCCCCCAGTGTGGAGCCGGCTTCTCTGTGGATTTGTGACAGTCCCCGCTGGACTTGCCGAGTGCCCATTGGTACTTAGGTGGCGTCGGGGAGACACTGTGCCCACCTGAGGGCCTTCCCAGCACCCAGCCCCACGGCAGGAGCACGGTCAGGTCCCTGCATCACTCTGACCTGCAGTCTCCTCGTCTGTGGAGGGAGAACAGCATGAGAATAATGACAGTCACTGGCATGGTCCGCCCTGCGCAGGTGCCAGCCTGTGGGTCCACGGTGCCTGGGGTGATGCTGACTTCGTAGTCCCGGCAGGATCACGTAACCCTGCTCGCTGCCACCAGCAGCCTGTGCGAGCCCTGAAGCCCATGGCCGTGTTCCGCACAGAAGTGCAGAGGCCTCTTCCTGCCTCAGGACCCTTGCACTGGCCGCCCCCTCCCCCGGGCTCCTTGCCTGCTCCTCCTCGTTCCCAACTGAGCTCAGAGGTCACCTCCCAAGGGAGGCCTCCCCTACCGATCTGCACCGCCGCCTGTCACCCCAAGTCACCCTGCTAGCCACTTGTAAAGGCAGAGGGCCTCTACGAAGAGCAGAGTGCCCACCCCACTTATGGCGACCCCCTCAAGGGCGGGGACCAGGTCTGGTGTGGACACTCAGTGTGCGTGCCCCACGGCTGCCATCGCAAATCACCAAACCTGGCTTAAGACAGCGCACGGCTCTCAGCTCCCGGTTCTGGGGTCAGAGTCCAAAGTGGGCCTCCTGGGCTGACGTGAAGGCGTCGCATGGCCGGTCCCTGCTGGGGGCTCCAGGGGAGGACCGTCTCCCGCCTTTCCCAGCGTCCCTCGGCTCGGGGCCCTTCCTCCCCCTCCAGAGCCAGCAGCACAGCGTCTTCCAGTCTCTGCCTCGGACCCCCCTGCCCCCTCGTGGGAGGACCCTGCGCTGACACTGGGCCCCCAGGTCATCCAGGACGACCTCCCCAGCTTAGGGTCCTTAATCACAGCTGCAAAGTCCCTTCCAGGGGTGGCTCTGAGGGGGTCATATTCTGCCACCACGCTCATCGAATAAACGATCCCTAAGCGAAGTCCGTTTCCAGATGAGGACCCCAGGCCCAGAGAGGCCGGTGGGTGACCCGAGGGCTCCGTGGAGAGCCGGGGGCGGGGAGGAGACAGAGACACCCCCCCCAGCCAGCCTCCTCGCAGGTAGGGACGCTCTCCCAGCCCGGTCTGGGCCTGGGCCAGTTGGTGCAAGGATTCCGGTGCCAGCAGGCCACGCTGTCCCCCGGAGCTGCGGCCCCTCACCGGGGCTGTGGGCCCAGGAGCAGGGCAGACTGGGAGGCCCCTGCAGCCTTCCTGTCCCTCCCCGACAGAGGGGGCCTGGGGGGCAGGCTGCGCGCTGTTCCTCCTGTGGTGTCACTCGATTTCCTGTGACCCAGGCGTCTCCTGGCCAGCTGGGGAGACGGGGCTTTGTGGGTTCAGAGTCGCTCAGTCATTTGCCACCCAGGACCGGGCGCCTGGAGGTGCAGGGGGCAGAGTCGGGGGCAGGTTTGCGTCCGCGGCCCTCCCCCCCCGTCCCAGCCTAGGCCCGGCCTCCGTGGTGCCCGAGTTCACTCCCCTCACCCAGCCTGGGTGTTGCGGCGGCAAAGCCTCCCACCTGCTGTGGGACCTCGGCGGCCCCCACCCGGGGTGACCGTCACAGGCCCCGCGGCCCCACCCTCTTACCGTATTACTCCCAGTCTGCTCAGCCAGTGTCTTTCCGCCGTGATGTGACCTTGAGATAGGCCCCAAGTGGGCACAGTTACCTGGCACTCGAGTCTCTTCCAGGGGTGCAGGGAGCTGAGGGGGGTGGTCCCAGGCCCCATTCTGAAGTCTCCCCTGTCTCCCGCAGGTTTGGCTCAGAAGAAGGCGGCCCCGACAGAGGTGAGTGTCCGGAGGGGCTGAAGGGCCTGGGGGTCCCAACTTGACCCGCTCGGTGAGGAGCTGTGTGGCCTTAGGGCAGCTCACTGACCTCTCTGGACCCCAGACACCATCCAGTGGCGTCAGGGGACTGAACGTTGTGTCCATCCTGACCTGGCAGCACATCCAGTTGCGGGGGCAGAATTTGGTGTCGGGGGGGGGGGCAATGAGGATCTGCGCAGGTTGGGGGGTTGGGCCCCAGGAGGGGGTGCCAGCAGGGGCTGCGGGCAGGGCGGCTTCTGTGGGTCCCAGGCCCGGGGGGCAGGACAAGTGGGCTGATTGGCGTGTGTATCCCCCCCACGTGGCCAGACCACGGATGTGGCTGGAGGCTCAGCCCTCGGGGGTTGACCCTGGTGTCACTTGGGCAGGCAGCCAGCTTGGGCACCGGGGCGTAGGGGGCTAGGGGTGGGACGGGGTCGGACGCTGCCCGGAGGGCCAACCCCAGGCCACCGGCTCCGCCGCACCCCTCACCCCAGAGCAGTCACAGCACCCCTGGCAGCCACACGAGGCGTGAGGCTGTGAGCATGTGCTCACGTGTGCGTGGTCACGGGTCCCTCCTGCTCCCACCCGCCCACCGTCCCCATCCGTCTGGAGTCTGGTTCCGAGAGCTTTTACTCAGCTGTGGGCATCTGCAGATGGGGGCGGGGCTGGGCACATGCAGGAAGGTGACCGTCCCTCCAGGGAATGGGAGCCGGCTACGAGGGCCATGCGGTAGCAGGAGTCCCGTGTGGCGTGTGTCCCTCCTCGCTGGGGATGCCACCTGCCACATGGGTCCTTCCAGGGGTCCTGCATCCACACTGAGAGCTGGGCTGGCATCGTCCACCTGGATGGGGACCTTGCTCTGAGTCCACTGTGGGGTGGGGCAGCAGGGAGCCAGCAAGGGGTGCGGAGCGGGTGGGGGTCAGTTCCTGGGAGGAGACCGCCCCCTGCTGGCTTGAGAGGAGACTCGCTGGCCCCTGGCAGAGCAGAGGCTGCCGAGGGCAGGAGAGGGGCGGGCGGTGCCACCTGGCTGACCTGGTAGAGGGCTGCAGGGCTCCCCGAGTGTGCATGGTGGGCGCTCCCTGCAGGCTCCCGAGGCCCCTCCTCCCACGGGGACAGCGGGATGGGTCATCCCGGCCAGCGGCACCCTCTCCCTCCGGAGAAGGAGCTGTGTGCAGTCACTCCAGCGTGGGGTCTCACCCAGGCGATCCTGCCCTCTGTGGTCCTGCCATGTCTGGGGACATCTGTGGTTGTCACACTGGGGGGAGCTCTTGGCCTGGAGTGGGTGGAGGCAGGGACGCTGCCCAGCACCCGCAGCGCCCGGGATGCCCCACCCCAGAGAACGAGCCACCCCAGTGTCCGCGGTGCCCGGGGGAGCCCTGAGTCCGGCGGGCCGAGGCCGCCTGGTCTTCCTGCCTTTCTGGAGCAGCCAGGAGTCCTGGCCTGGGTGTCCCCTGTCAGATGCCGCGCGCCCTGGCTGCCCACCGGGCCTGTGCCAGTGAACAGCCTCCCGCTGCACCCTGGAGTGGGCGGCACCCGCCCCGGTCCCCACATGCTCCCACTAGGCCTGGTGACCAAGCTCCTCTCTTGGTGGCGGTGCCTTTGTGACAACTTCACGTGTCCTGCCTCCTCCCCACAGGCCCTGTCGATGACTGGACAGCCGGGCCCCGGCCACGGGAAGAAGTTGGGTCATCGAGGCGTGGACGCATCCGGCGAAACTACCTACAAGAAGGTTCCTCAGCTGCTCTTGGCCGGCTTGCTGGGGTGGGGG